TTTAAAAATCGAATTATATTTATTAAAAGTTGACGAAAAGAGTGCTAGAAGAGTAGGACAAGACAACCTCCAACAAACCAAATTTAGTTGATTGTTAAAACTTAAAAAATAAAATTATATTTATTAAAAATTAACGAAAAGAGTAGGACAACCTCCAACAAACCAAATTTAGTTGATTGTTAAATATTTTTCTTTTTCTTTTTTTTTTTGAACGGCACATCACTTTTAATGTTAGCAAGCCTTCCACGTGCCGGCTATTGGTCTCTTCGGTGAAACTTGTGATGCAAATATTACTTTTGTGAAGGGTTAAGTGCGGCGCCGGCAAGACAACTGTCAATTAACGACTCAGATTTTCATGCGATAATTACAGAAGAAGCGTTGGCACGAGCGGTATGTGTATGACGTCACAACGATGAAGTCATTATTTTCATTCCGCAGGTACAGATCGATGATCCGCCCCGATTTTTGGAACATGCCCTTGCAAAGCGGACATAAATTGCGGCGCTTGTTTCGATTACTGGTCAACGACGCACCTACCACCATACACAGCACTCCCTGAAAGCAATTCTAAATTTTTTATTAAAAGAAATGTAAACGTAACTCTTGCCCCAAGCACAAATTTTTTTCATCACTTTTATGGATTTGATTCATCTGTGTTGTTGGAATATAAGCCTTTTTATCAATAAATATGAAAAGTCCAGCTTTTCATTTTAAAAAAAATTTAAATTATATAATAAAAATAATATTTTTTATTTTTTAATTTATTTTATTTTTATATTATAAAACTCAAACTCATGATTTTTTTAAAATAAAAATTATATTAGATTATTTAAGTTGTTAGTAATAAAAATTACTAACAACTTAAATAATTTACAATTTTGAAATTGTGAAGCGTGTGCCTCTATATATTAATCAGTTGATTAGTAACTTCGTTGAATTTTATTTTTTATTTTTTAAAAAGAGCCTAGCCAGTAGCTTTTGCAATGCATTTGAAAATGAAAATGGACTTTAAGGGATGCAAAGAGTGTAAATGGGCCAGACCAATGTAATTTCCTGGGATAGTTGGATTTCCTTCAGGCTGCTGGGCGTTGTCCAATCCATCATGTGAAACGAATTGGGCGTTGTTTTGTCCATCATGTTACACCATTGGGCTTTATTAAGCCCACTAAGTGACACTACGTTGAATTTCCAACTTTACCCAATGCTTAGCGAAGCTCTTCGGCATGAATCGTGTGACCGTGCGACCAAGTGGAATGTGCATAAGTGATCGTGCGAGCAACTTATTAATTGGACTAAAAATGTATATATATATATATAGATATATACATACATACATATTTAATAAATTAATTGATAAATAAAAAGTATATTTTTTAGAGTTGAAAGGTTAAAAGAGTTCTTAAAATAATTGTAAAACAAAAATGGTGTAAAACTCTAAAATTGATTGACTAAAATTGTCATTTAATCTTAAATAATTTTACAAGCAATCATATACAATTTTTTTTATTAGAATGTTTGATTTGAGAGGAATGAAGGGGGGGAGAGGATTTTTGACTAATTATATTCTAATATTTAAAAACGTTATAATTTAATAAGTAAAAAATTATATACTTTTTTATTTTTCTCAAACCAAATATACTATACAAGTTAATTTTAAAAATTATTTTTTCATATTACTAATATAATATATTATATAAATCTTA